AGGATCGAAGATGAAGAGGAGATGAACGCCGAACTCACCGCCAAGAAGCGGAAGCTGGAAGATGAATGTTCGGAGCTGAAGAAAGATATAGATGACCTGGAGTTGACCTTGGCCAAGGTGGAGAAGGAGAAGCACGCCACGGAGAACAAGGTACGTCGAAAGCACAGGTGGTCCTCGACTTACGACCCCAAGGGCGCCCCAAATTTTCCGTCGCTGAGCCAGAGAGCGGTTGAGTTTTGCCCCATTTTACGAGGTTTCCTGCCGCAATTTTTTTGACGTAGGTCACAATCGGTCGTTAAATTGGTTACACGGTTGTTAAGTGAATCTGGCTTCCTTGGTCGCAAAAAGGGAGATCCCTTGACCCCGGGGACACCGCAAAATCGTCGTAAATATGAGTCAAGTTGCCAAGCGTTCGGATTTTGATCACCTGACCGAGGGGCGCTGCTACCGTCGCAACACGATCACAATTTCACTTTTGTCGGTGCCGTCGTAACTTGGGACAGTCATTAAATGAAATGTTGGGAGTCAAGGTCTACCTGTATGAACCAGTTGCCCCATGTCATAATTTTAATCCTGTCACTGAGAGGATGATGCCACCGTCGTAAGTGTGAAACACGGTCACAATTTCACTTTTATCGGCGCCGTCGTGGCTCTGAACAGTCATTAAACGAGCTGTTGGGAGTTCAGGGTCTACCTACCCGAACCAGTTGCCAGATGCCATCACGTGACCGAGAGGATGCTGCTACCGTCGTAAGTGTGAAACACGGCCACAATGTTGCTTTTGTTGGCGCCGTCAGTCATTAAACAAACATTCAACAAACGTTGTAAATGGTCCAACCCTGGACGTTCTTAAGAAGTGATGGGATAGCCCTTTGTCTGAAATGATATAGGGTTTCCTGCCTGAGCAGGAGGTTGGACTAGAAGACCTCTAAGATCCCTTCCAACTCTGTGATTCTATGAATCATTCTATGAATCTAAAACTGCTCTAAGTCAAGGACCCCCCCTCTATTGAACCAGTTGCCAAATGGTCATAATTTTACTCACACAACCAAGAGAACGGTGCAACTGTGATACTGTAAGTGTGAAACACAATGTTGTGGTCCTCCATCAGCCTGCGGAGCTGGCAGCAGAGTCAGATAGTGAGGAGGTTGGGGAAGAACATGGTCCTGTCCCAGACTCTGGGGAAGGATCAGGCGAGGGCTCTGCGTCGGAGGCAGAGAGGGGGCCAGAGGCCATCTTGGGAGTTATGTGTTGCCTCCAGAGTCTCTGGAGTCTGACATAAGCGAGGCAGAAGAACAGTATGAGCCTGTTCCAAGTGTGTGCATGCGCAGAGCTGCAGAAAGACAAGAACAATTACCGTATTTTTCGGAGTATAAGATGCACTGAAGAATAAGACGCACCAAGGTTTTGAAGAAGAATTTTTTTCAAAAAAGTAGGTAGATAGATAGAGGGAGTGGGGGGGAGAAAGAGAGAAATACAGTAGGTAGGTAGGGAGAGAGAGAGAGTAGGTAGGTAGGTAGGTAGATAGAGGGAGAGAGGGGGGAGAAAGAGAGAAATACAGTAGGTAGGTAGGGAGAGAGAGAGAGTAGGTAGGTAGGTAGATGTTTCCAGGTGTATTTATCCATGTATTGGAGAAGGAAATCACTGACAATCTGCAGCACCTAAGACTTTGTTTCTGCTGGCACAGCACTTGATCAATCTAATTCTCATCTATCACTCTAATTAAACAGCCTTCCGAAAGGGGAAAAACAAAAAAGTTTTTGCACTC